TACTCTGCCCCGTCAAAACCGCCCGGGAGTCTGCTCCTCAGCTATGGCCACGTTTGGAATTTTTTCCAGAGATAATTCAACAGAACTCAGCTATGGCCACGTTTGGAATTTTTTCCAAAGAGATAATTCAACAGAATTTTTTTTAATGACAACACATATACTCAAAGATGTTCATTGTCAGTCAACGCCAGGCTGCTTCCACCCTCAACGGAAGTTGGTTGACTACGTGAATAGCATCGACACGGAGCCCTGCGCATCCACCACACGGGCCTTACTCAGTTGCCACAGTCCCACGAGGCACAGGTTATGGCCCCGATTTCTCAACTGCTGGTCCCCTGAAGGCAATTTCAGCACCTGGCTGGTGGATGAATAAGCCTGGTCCTCCCTGTATGGACAGGGTCTGGACCTACCATGGGAGCTTTCTACCTTTCTATTAGGCAGTCGTGTTCTTCAAATATACGCCATGAGGGACCAGCAGTTGGCGTAATGGCTATGTCGCTGGACTCCCACATAGTCAACCATAGTTCACGTCCCAGACCTGGAGGCTTAAAACTCACACCGGGCACGTGTGCGTGCGTGCCCAAATCCCAAGAGGAGAATGGAGGAAAAGGGATTGCGGCGTGGCCATCCCCCCTGGGGGGTGATTTCTCGCTTTCTGTCTCTCTGTCTCTCTCTGTCTGTCTGGCGAGCGCATGTGCCCTATAGCAAAAACCTCTCAAAAAAAATAAATAAAAAAACACCATGAGCAGCCAGGAGCCCCACGGCCTGAGCCCAGTTGAGGAGCATCCAGACAAAGGGGCCTTCTGGCCCTGCGTGCCTTCCCACCGACGCGCGCGGGAACACACGCCAAAGCCCTCGGAGTGCAATGGAGAGTCTGTGAAAGGTCTCTGAGGGCCAGGGGCGGCTCCTGCTTTCCAAGGGGGAGCAGCAGTCCAGGAAGTCTCATGACGGGGGTGGATCCTCCCAGCCACCCCCACCAGCGCTCACCCCTGCTTTCTACTGAAACAGAAGCCGACTCTTTGGACATCCAGACTGCCCCGAGTGCCCTGGCTTCCACGATTAATCGGAACCAAGGGCCGTTAGTAAGCACTCACCAGCGCCTGACCCGGGAACACCCCACAGCCCGCGTGAAGACTCACGGCTTCTTTTCTTAGCAGTTACTCTGTAGCCAGCACCGGCACTCTCTGGGCACCAGCAGGACTGTGCAATAAAGCAGCCTTGGCCTCAGGGAGAGTCGTGACATATTTTCCTGGTCTTCTGTACAAAAATACGTCCTGACTCCCAAGCACCCAGTAGCTGGACACTGAACTGCAAGTTCCGGAACCTAAGCTGCAGTGGAAGCAGATACACGAGCAATTCGCTGACTGGAGAAAGCATTAGAGTTCTGCAGGCTCCAGAGGGGCTTCCCGGCCGCGGAAAGGCAGAGACCCATCCCTGTCTGCTGCTTTGTCGATCCTCCCGCACTCTGAACCTCCCTTTCTGGTAAGTGAGGATTCTAGAGAGAAAATGACTGGCCTAAGGTCCTAAGGCTCTGAGTTGACGGAGCCGGAATATCAGCTTGGGTCTCACTCCCCGGAAGCTCAGTTGTTTTTTTTCCCATTCGACCCAGCCGCGCTTTCTTTTCTTACAGCGAGAGTCAAACAATAATGTTCAGTTTCTGGTTTTTTTTAGTTTCCACCATTAAGAAAGATGAAAAATTAGAAAGTTTCAAAATACACATGGCATGGCAGTTGAGGTGCTAGACTCGCACGTGGCTGAATGAGTTCGAGTCCCAGACCTGGTGGTTTGAAAATTACGCTGTGTGTGCATGCCCAAAAGTCCCAGGAGGAGAGAGGACTGTGGGGTGATTTATCACTTTCCAGCTCACTGTCTCTGTCTCTCTCCGGTGAGTGCACACGCCCTATGGCAAAAACCTTAAAAAGAAAGAAAGTGCCAGGCACAAGGAGAGTCTGTGAAAGTCGTTTTCCAAACGCAGGTGGCCTGAGAAGAACGTCCTTGGGGCTGCAGGACGGGGGCAGGGGTGGCGTGGCCACGTAACCGGTGAGCTCTGAGGCCAGACACCTGGGTTCCAGGCACAGCTGCGCTGGCCGAGCGCTGGGCCCCGGAGCAAGTCACTCATCGTCCCCCGCCTCCGGCTCCACCTCTGAGAAGTGGGGGAGAATGAAGGCCTGGCCTTGTGGGGAGTAAATAACTTAATAACAGGAGGCTCTTAGGAGCGTGAGGCACATCGCAGGGCGCACTGAGACTCGCTGCGCATCTTATTCCCACGGTGGCCCAGGCAGAGGCCCTCGGAGCGGGGGTGGCGCGGCCAGCCTGGGACGCAGAGTCATCTGCAGACACTGAGCTGTGGGGTCTCTGGTACCGCTGG